GTGTGTCGGAGACTGGGGATGATTATGTGTTGATTAATAATATAGCGCAAAATATAGTGAAAAATAATGCAATTAAGACGAACCAATCATAGGTGAGAATGAACTGAACGTGAGATAATATAGTATATATAATGCATGGGACTAGTGAGAGTGAGGGAGTGAGAGACCAGGGAGTGAGACAGTGACTCAAGTGATGAGAATGTGATTTGTGATTGTAATTAATATTTTTAAATAAATGGTGAAAAAGTGACTTTTAGTGGACTACAATTCTTGGGAGGCAGGAAATTCACTAAATGTGGGCTGGGGGATTGACAGCAAAGCAACGAATCAATATTGAAAGAGTCCAAAAGCGAGCGTTACAGATCATCTGTCCAAGAGAGAAGTATGAGAATGCACTTTTATCAAATGAAATTACCAGATTGGAAGAACGAAGGAGAGATCATTGTATAAACTTGGTTAGTGATTTATCAGAAGAAAAGCACAAACTTCACCACTTGCTCCCACCAAGGAAGTGTCAGATAATAACAAGAAATACCAGATCTAATAAAGATCTTTTTTATAACTTTACTAGTAGGACAAATAGATTTAAATTCAGTCCAATACCGTATGCTGTAGACATGTTTAACTCTAGTAACAACGGATGATGTTTTATCTAGTAACTAATCTTTGTAAATTGTATGTAGTAATTTAGCTTTGTGTTATTGTATGCGATATTTTAAACCAGTTTAATAATAAAATAATAAAATATGTACATTGATCATGCATGCAGTCCGATAATTCTGTCGTAAACTATAAGTTTAGGACTGGATCAAACTATTTTACTTTATTTTAGTAATGATATTTAAATAAGTCATTTCAGAACCTCTAATTGACATTTTAAGTTCTCACAGTCATGGATAGAACTGATCGGACTGGAAATCTAATCTATAAATCTTCATTTCTAAATTGGAATTTTCTTACGTATACGACGAAATTAAATTATACAATGCTTAATTAACACAATTTAATTAAAGTTTAAGGAAACCATTTCACATCAGGTTTTTGGACAGCACAATTTCAATTCAAAATCTAAAAAGTATATTATTGAAAAAAATTATGTAATTATATTTATTTGAGGTTTATTTGAAGCATAGTTTAATTTTTTATAGACTAATTATGTAGGTGCAATAACCATAGATATCTTATATATGCGGTGCAATAACCATAGATATCTTATATTTACTAGATATAGCGCATCTCTTTTAGTAAAATTGAAACCAAGAATATTCCAGCGGTTACCCCATTTGAATATCGATGGCGGCCATGTTGGTAGTTCCCACTCGCTAATAAACGCTTAAAAGAAAACAATAACTTTCATCATTTGAATAGTTTAAAAATGTATTTGGAATAGGTTTAACTTAAGTTTAAGTTCCCTGTTTAAGAAGAAATAGAAAACATACGAATGTTCTCATTTCATGGGAATATCCTGAGACTGCAATCACGGCTTCAATTTTTGAATTGCAGAATAATCAGATGCACTATCTAGTGTATATAAGAAATCTATGAATCTAACGGACAGTTATAATTGTTACCAAAATACAGAGTTATAGTCTGTCACAACTTTTCCAACATGAAGTTAGCTTGAAGTTTACTAGTTTATATTTGGTAACAGAAATGCTGTAGATGCGGACTGCCCCCCCCCCCCCACGCAGACCGCAGTCAATATATATAATGATGTTGTTTGGGTAATTAAAGTAAAACAAACATGGAGGTTGAACGGGGTTTGAACCTCATGCACAAGATCGTATTAACACTATAGTTAGAAAAGGCTAAACGATGGAACAGAAAATGCTTGAACTACAGACTGCATATTAAAGGGGTGTGGAATGCCAGGGCCTCTTTTAACATATAAACTGGGGAAGGACATGACCCCCCAGCCCTCTCACTGGCCCCTCCAAGCGGCAATT